ATGTTTCTCAATTTGGGAGTGACGAACTGGCAGGCCTCAGAGTCCCATTGTCACATTTCTCTTTCGCTCGAATTAATCGAAAGCGAGAAATTTATTCACGTTGGCGTTGTTATTGTTGCTATCAACAACAACAACAAAAATGCGATAAATATGTATACACAGATTATCTATCTATCTATCTATCTATCTATCTATCTATCTCCGCTTTTTTCTATGTATCTAAAAATGTTAATATCTGTCTATTTATCTAACCATCTTTTTAGATGTTCTTATCTATCTATCTATCTATCTATCTATCTATCTATCTATCTATCTATCTATCCAAGCCTTTTCCTATCTATCTATCTATCTATCTATCTATCTGTCTTTTTCCTATCTATCTAAAAATGTTCTTATCTATCTATCTATCTATCTATCTATCTCTGCTTTTTCCTATCTATCTAAAATGTTCATATCTGTCTATCTAAACATCTTTTTAGATGTTCTTATCTATCTATCTATCTATCTATCTATCTATCTATCTATCTATCTATCTATCTAAGCCTTTTCCTATCTATCTGTCTGTTTTTTCCTATCTATCTAAAAATGTTCTTATCTATCTATCTATCTATCTATCTATCTATCTATCTATGTTTTCCTATATATCTATAAATGTTCTTATCTATCTATCTATCTATCTATGTTCAAAATATATATATATATATATATATACTTCATAATCGGTATTGCCACATTCAAGGAAGTAAAGCCACTACGACACAAGGGTTTATAAAGTGCAGAAGAATTAGTAACAGAAACATTAATAATGAGGGGAAAAGCATAATGAGGAGGACAGTTGATTGCGATTGGTATTGCATTTTAATTTTGCAGTTTAAAGTGGGCTGGAAAGTATGGGACCTGAAGAGAGTTCCACAGGTGAGAAGTGCGAGAAAAGAAACTGTTAGCATAGAACTTACGCTTACATGTAGGCGATTCCCCTGTAAAATGAGGGGGACCTCGTAGCCAATCTAGTACTGCGCTTAAATTCATAAAGTCTAAGTACCATAACGAAGACCTCATCCGAACGATTGCCATGAAAATATTTATATAAAAGACACAGGCAAGCAACTTTATGGTGGTAGGGAAGTAACTGAAGCTGAGATGCTAGATCAGGACCAAGAATATTGCTGATTCTTCTCTGGATTTTATCACGAATCTCTAAATATATAGCAGGCGCACCGAACCATATTTGGCAGTAATATTCAAAATATGGGCAAATGGTACATAGATATGGAAAATAGATTCTAGAGAGAAAAATTGTCTATCATAATACAGTGAAACAATTACTGACCTAGCATTGGATTCAATATAGTCTTTGACCGCTGCGAGTGTTATGCCGAGAAGGCGCAACGCGTCACTTTCCTGGAGGTTAGCATCAGTCATACTTATGGAAGGCGAAGATAGCTCTCTGAGAGCGTGGTTTTGTTTTAGAGACTTTAAAATTAACAAGCCATTCCTTGCCCCAGTAAACAACCGACTGTAAATCATTTTTTAGATCAGCTACTAATTTGACCTTATCGATCTGATCAAACTTACTTTACTGGAGTAAATGGCTGTGTCATCAGCACAGGTACCAATTTGACAGCTGTCGTTAATGAAAATTAAGGACTAAATAGATCCAAAGATGATGTCCCTGGGAACACCTGCATTAGGACGAAAAAGTCTAGAAGAGAGGATGTTCAGGGTAACTTTCATGTCATGATTTGATAAGAAAGACTGAATAACTATATTTCTGAGATGAGGTATTATGTACACTATTTACATTATTCGGACTATTGTCCTCATCATTGTTACCATATTTATCACAACGATTCGGCCTTTGCAGGCTCTAGCCTTCTTCAGGTGGTTGGAATGTCGAACTGAACCCTTTATTTCGTTCGCTGGGGTAGACTATTCTAGTTCCACTTGCCATGTCTAATGGATGTCAATGATCAGTTATCTCTTGTTAATTCACCTCTCCAAGTTCTCCACTGCCTTAACCAGGTATTGAACTCACACACTTTGGGTCCTGTCACTCACGGACACATGGCACAGTGGATAAAGGCTTTAATTAGATCCAGTGACAGGACCCAAAGAGTGTGAGTTCAATACCCGGTTAAGGCTGTGGAGAACTTAGACAGGGGAATTAACAGGAGAACTGATAACTGATATCCATTAGATATGGCATGTGGAACTAGAACAGTCTACCCCAGCGAGCGAACTAAAGAGTTCAGTTCGACATTCCAACCACCTTGAAGAAGGCCGGAGTGTAGAACATTGTGATAATATGGCGACAAAGATAAGGACAATAATCCAAATAATGTAAATAGTGTAAGACTGAATAAATTCGAAAATTCGTTCGGAGACCCCATAACCTTTCAACTTGTGAAGAAAACCGGTATTTCGAGATACTCAAAGAAACAGCCAGAACTTCACCATTTTTATGTAAAGCTTGTAGACTAATTGTTAATACGATGAACTGGAGCAGTAGGGTTTCAACCTTTTTTCCTGGAGCAGAATCACAAGGAATCATTCCAGTGGCTCGAGAAATCCCGGCAATAAATTAATTGTCTCATGCAAAAAAAGTTTTCAATTATTAAAATAAAATAAAAATACTCATCTTCAGATTTATTTACAAAAAAATACAAAGACAAACTGTAAAAATATTGTTTACGTCCATATGCAATTTTAATTTTGCTTCTACGGTTATTACACATGTATTAAAAAAAACTTCAGTTTAAATGGATTACATTTATTTTCATTAAAAATTCAATGAGAAACTTGAGCCTGATGTTTCTTGCACAAATCTTTAATATTGGATCGTGTTTTTGACAGACACACACGAAGGAGAATTAAAAGTTACTGTCAATCATAGTACTTGTGTAACTTCTTGCGGAACCCCTGGCGAAACACTAGGGTTCCGTGGAACCCTAGTTAAAAACCACTGACCTAGAGAAACGAAAGCCATATTGCTTATCTGAAAGATGTAAAAAATGAAATAAGAATAAAGATAAATAAAATAAAACAAACTAAGAACACGCACATTTTACATTGAAAATTCCCTACCTCGTGAGGTATGAGTTTTACTTTTGAGAGCATTTTATTTTGTATTTCTTTAAGGCGTGTACTATCAGGAATCCATTCAATAAGTCTATCAGGACAGTTTCCAGTCAAACCCAAGGACCAAACCACAACTGCAATTATTCATGTCTTCGTGTGCCCTACATTTCTGCGATTTCCACTTCCAGATTTGGAGCAAGAGCAGATAGGAGTGATAGAAGAAAGGATGAGGAGAGAGATAGTGGATAGATCAAGGTAACTGGAGATGTTGATTGACATTACATTTGAATAGTTGGAGATTATAGCTCTCAGGGAAACAGTAATTGGAAATGGTGTTCCACTGGCGAGAGGTGCGAGGTATGAAGCTATTGGAGTAGAAGACACGGCTACATTTAAAAGTTTCTACAGTGTAAGGGTGGGAGCGGGATGCCAGCCTCGGAGGGCGCTTGAATTCATGGAGTCTGGGAACCAGTGAAAGCAGCTCAGCGGAGCCATTACCATGAAAGTAGAAAAGACCGAAAGAGGCAACGGCGCGTCTGTGAGAGAGTGACTGTAGACGAAATGCCAGATCAGGGCCAATTATATTACATATCCGTCTCTGGATCTTGTCAAGAACTCCGAGGTAAACAGAAGGTGCCCCAGACCATATATGGCAGCAATACTCCATGCAAGGGTGAATGGTTGATTTGTAGATTTGAAGGATCGATTCCGGGGAGAAAAATACATAACAGCATACAAGAACTTCTGTCTATGAAGAGAAAAGGGAGATCACCGATCTATGTGGGATCAGGTTGAGATCATAGACAAAGAATACCATTGAAAAATTCGTAAACTTAAGGAATCAGCACATATGCTAGACCACAAAAATCTCCTGAGCCGACCAAGCATAGAAATGTATTCAATATGGGAACCAGTAATAAGGAGTGCCAGAGAAAAGCGATAATAACAACAAAAATTGCAATATGAGCTCTGGTAAAAACATAAAATGATAACAGCAAAAAATTGCAATATAAGCACTGGTAAAAAATGGTTACTGCTGACATTAGGTTTATAATCCCCAGAAATTCATACGCAGATGTGTGCCATGTGTCCTCAAGGACACATGGCACCAGTGAGCGAAATAAAGGGTTCAGTTCGACATTCCAAACACCTGAAGAAGGCCGGAGCGTTCATCGGCCGAAACGTTGTAATAAGTATGGCAACAAAGATGAGGAAAATAGTCCGAATAATGTAAATAGTGTTACTATAAATGTTAAGAAAAATAACTGTTAATTTAAAGCTTAAACACTTTCTTTGCATGAAAAGAAGAGATTGCCACTGAAATTCGAAAAAAAATATAATACAATAAATTATTAATTTATATTTCTGAGATGAGGTATTATGTACATTATTTACATTATTTTGACTATTGTCATCATCTTTGTCGCATGGCACAGTGGATAATCCAGTGACGGGACCCAAAGAATGAGAGTTCAATACCCGCTTAAGGCAGTGGAGAACTTGGAGTGGGGAATTAACAGATAACTGACAGCTGACATCCATTAAACATGGCACGTGAAACTAGAATAGTCTACCCCAGTGAGCGAAATAAACTGTTCAGTTCGACATGAAGAAGGCCGGAGCGTACAACGGCCGAAACGTTGTAATAAATATGGCGATAAAGATGAGGACAATAGTCCGAATAATGAAAAAGTCTGCAAGAAGTTCCATGTCAATTACAAAGAAATTTCTGTTGTCTTTAATCAATATTTCTGGGCGATTAGCTTTGATTATTCTGTGTGTATTATAAAGTTCCATAAAATTTTTACATGTCCTCTGTCCATAACTGGGTTTGGGTGGTGTTCATACCAGTTTCTTGTTTAATTGTCATAAAAAATCGCTGATTCTACAGTGCAGATATAGGCCCAGCCAGGCATGCTGAGTTTTAGATTCAGTTGATACTAATGCCGTGCAACCTGATAGAAGATGGTTATTGGTTTCAGGATATTCAACACAAAATCTGCATTTGTGGTCAACACATCATCATTATTATTATTTTTATTTTATTTAATTTGATTTTTGGTGTGTACACATTTCATTTCGGGACCCGCCCGGAGACCTAAGGTCGGAAATGGCATCATGACATTTTCCTCTGACCAAATAAAAACACACGCACACATATATTTACATAGATAAAGCCCTTCGTAAGATGTGGGCTGTACTCGTGAGAACAATTTTTTGTATTTCTTTGAAGCATGGGCTTCCAGGAATCCCTTCAATTAGTCTACTGGAATCTTTTTCCAACCAATCCGAGGGCTCTAACTACAACAGGGATTATTGATGTTCCCATGTGCCACATTTTTGAGATTTCGATTTCAACGTCCTTGTAATTTGATAGCTTTTTGAATATTTTCAAAAATACATTGCAGACCACAGGGACTTCCATATCAATAAGGAGGCACTTTTTTTGTTTGTGGTCTTTAATAACAATGTTTCGGCGGTTGGCTTTGATTGTTCTGTCAGTGTGTATTGTGTAATCCCATAGAATTGTAACAGGTCCTATTCCGTAACCGGGTCTGGGTGGTGTTCATACCAATTTCTTTCAGTTTCTTTCCCGTAGAAGTTGCAGATTTTCCAGTGCAGATATTGGCCCACTCTGTCATACTGGGTTTTATATTCAGTGGGTGAATTATATTATTATTATTATTATTATTAGTAGTAGTAGTAGTAGTAGTAGCACTTACAGAAGAGCGTGATTTAAGAAAAAGAAAAGAAAAGACACAATTTTCAATAATATTTCGACAGTATGTTCGACTTAAAGTTATATTTTAAAAATTGTATACAAGTATAAAAATATAAAAAAATCTACAAAAAATTACAAGTCTTTGTAGAAACGTGGCTTTTCTCGAGAAAAAAAACGGTTGTAGTTGTAATCATCGCGTCAAAACGATGTAAACACAGCCTGCTTGAATGTCATGTAACAAAAACGTAAAAAGATAGTGACCGTGCTCATTTTGAAAATTTCTCTTAGTTGATTAGTTATTGAAATCAATTAATCAAACGGTATAAATCCTCTCTAGTCATTCTGTTAATTCCTTTTCTTTTTGCTTTTTCTTTTATTAAATCAGGATCTTCTCTATGTGTTGAAAAATATTGTACGAATTACGTGATTTTGTTTATTATTATTATTATTACTATTTCCTTTGATTTCTGTTGTATACTCATTTCTTTCCGGGTCCCAACCAGAAACCTTAAGTCAGAAATGGCGTTATGAAATCTTCTACTGAGTAGTTTTGAAAAAAAAATCACACGTATTTTACATAGATAAAACCCTTCGTAAGGTGTGGGCCGCACTTGTGAGAACAATTTTTTTGTATTTCTTTAAGGCATCGGCTACCAGGAGTTCCTTCAATGAGTCTATTGGAATCTTTTCCAATCAATCCGAGGTCTCCACCTACAACAGGAATTGTTGATGTCCTCATATATTTTTGAGATTTCAATTTCAATCTCCTTGTATTTTGATAGTTTTCAAAGATACATTACAATCTGCAGGGACTGACATGTCAATAAGAAAACATTCTCTTCTTGTGGTCTTTGATCACGATTTCTTGGCGATTAGTTTCGATTGTTCTGTCTGTGTTTATTTTAAAATCCCATAAAATTATTACAGGTCCTAACTCCGTAACCGGGTCTGGGTGGTGTTCATACCAATTTCTTGCAGTTTTCTTTCCGTAAAAGTTGCAGATTTTCCAGTGCAGATATTGGTCCACTCTGTCATGCCGGGTTTTATATTCACTGGGTGCCAATACCGCGCAACTTGATACAAGATGGTCAATTATTTCTGGATATTTATCACAAAATCTGCATTTGAGGGTTAGCATAATTTTTCAGTAAGTGCTCTTGGTAATTTCTAGTTAGCAAGCATTGGTCCTGTGCAGCAAGAATAAAACTTAAACTTTTACCCCCTCACTACGTTGTCACAGATGGGTACGTGGGTTTGTCTATATCCGCTTGTTTGGAACGGACAGAGAATTGACTGTGAAGCGGTTTATTTTGCCATCGTATCTATATATTTCGTCGGTTTCATTCGCCTTTGCTTTCTAAGTATTTTGCAGCTGCATTCGGTGCATATGGCTTTACTTGTAATATTGCTGGTAATATTTTTACACAAACGTATTGCTGGTATTATAAACCTATTTTTACAAGTTCATAGTGTTTTGACCCCATTTTGAGGTTTAACTAGACAATAAGCTACATCCGCGTCCTGGGTAAGTCGATAAACTACATCGCGTCCTGGGTAAGACGATAAACTATATCCACGTCCTGGATAAGTCGATAAACTACATCCGCGTCCTGGGTAAGTCGATAAACTACATCGCGTCCTGGGTAAGTCGATAAACTACATCCGCGTCCTGGGTAAGACGATAAACTACACCCAAACAGCAAGGCCTCTGATCAGGAGATTTTGAGGAGCGTGGAACCACATCTTAAAAGCTGGTATTCCCAGATCCACCCTGACCCGGAGTGGTAGCACCTGTTAGGGCCCCAGCTATGGGCAAAATAGTTAACCCCCAAGTATATTTGACCTTAAGTGGATATAACGGATCCAGATGGAATTCCAACTCGTCTTTCCAATTTTGCAGCGTTATCCATCACACCACCAGACATCCAAACTTATAGCACGTGGTATTCCCAAGCGAACACCCATCTAGGTACTGACAAGGCTCGACGTTGCTTAACTTCGCTGATCGTATGAGAGCCCGTGTCTTGACATGATATGGCCGTGAGCCTTCATTAACGTCTTAAGGAATATAATTATATTCTTGTAAATAAGGAATAAGTAGCCTTATATAATTATACTCTTGTAAATAAAGAATAAGTAGCCTTATATAGCAATATCTAATGGGGACTTCAACAAAACAGTAGGAGTTATGCCAAGGTTCGAAGATTTCAATATATTTAATGACATTTCTCAAAAGAAAAAAAAGAAAGAAAAAATTTAAATATCTTTTGCAGCAGTGAATGGGTTAACATCGTAAAAAAATTGATGAAATCCCTGAGCCTTTTTTTCTTCTTGTTTTCATTTCTTATTTTATTGTCGAACACATAAACTAGCCAAACATACCAGCAGTGATCGATGGTAAAAGGAGAGGCGGCCATGTTGTTACTGGAAGAGGGAACGCTCAGAGCAAGTGGACGGCGCATCCATGCATGTCTTTCGTGGGTGTCATCCAAGTGGAACAAGTTCAACCCCCACTCTAGATTTTCTTTTCTTCTTTTTTTTTCTTTCTGCTTTCTTCTTTTTTTCTTTTTTTTATTATCGTCTTCCTTGTTTCGTTTGGATCGATTTGCCGGTCCCCGCGTTCATAGGCTGGCAAGCGCGGCAGCCCTGACTATTACGACATTAAAACAGCAATAAAAACGACATTAAATGTAAGAGCAACAACAACGTCAACTCAACCGCAAATCGGTGCAAAATTAAACAAAAAACTAAAAAAACAAAAACAAAAAAAAAAAAAACATGCAAAAGCAATTATGCGAGTTGGACAGGGGAGGAGTAAAAAAACAAAAGAAAACAGGAAAAAAAAAAGAAAAAAGAAAAAAAAGAAAAGAAAGTAAAAAAGAAAAGAAAGTAAAAAAGACTGTAAGATGTCGACAGTGTAATATTACCAAGCATTTTTTCCCCGCATATCAAATCGGTTGGTCAGTGAGTACGATCCGCACTGAGTGACTCACATCCATACCAGGACTAATTTCAACTTGAGCAGGTACCGTAACGATTATTAGCGCGAAAAATAGAATTAGCAAAACGAGTATATATTCCGACTTTTACTTTATGGCAAAATATCCGTTACTATACAAGAGACATTAGACATCCACGGACCAAACTGATCGTTCGGTTAAATGATATATACAGGGTGTCCATAAAGTTCGTGTGCATTTAAAAAAACTATAATTTTATTTCTATTTACGATACAAATAATCTGTAAAATGTTATAAAGTCTAATGTACCTAGTTTTAAATATAGCTAAAATAACTAATGTGATTTCAGGCATTACTGTAAAAATCAGTTGGCAAATGTTTTCCGTGAACTGCAAAATCGTATTATCCTTTGTAGGACATGTAGAAACTTAAATAAAATTTCACTTGAATAAAACCTTAAAAAATATAGATTTACTTCTTTCTAATCCTTTTTACAAATTATTTCTATCACAAATACAAATAAAGTTATAAATTTTTTAAAGTGCACACGAACTTTATGGACACTCTGTATATATACATATTCTGAAAGGTGACATTTCAAACTATCTTGCAATAGATTCGTGTGCATTTTCTTCATTGTTGTTCTTTTATTTACCCCGCACCCCTAAAATAAAAACACTGTATAAAGAGAGAGAGAGAGAGAGAGAGAGAGAGAGAGAGAGAGAGAGATGTACCGTTTATTTAAAACCGAGAAAGTTTCCGGAGACCTACAATCGTTGACATTGGTAAAATCGAACTGCTGATTTAAAATAATTCAGGACACATGACACGGGACATCGCTGAGATACTTTCATCATTGGTTATCTGCTCAAACGCAACAAAAACGACCCTGGGGGTACATCTGCATTAGGAGAAACGGATCTAGACAATTCATTTTACGATTTGATGACAAAGACTGAATAGGTTCAAAAATTCGTCCGGAAGCAGCTTAACCTGTCAACTTGTGAAGAAGAACGGTATGCCAAAAGCTATCAAACGCTTTCGAGATGTACAAATCAACAGCACGGGCTTCACCATTATTACCTTTCTTAGCAGCTGACCTAGAAATGGATTCAATATAGTCTTTGTTAGCCGAGAATGTTATCTCGAGAAGGTGCAACGAATCACTCTCCTGCAGGTTAGCATCAGCCATACTGATGGAAGGTGGAGAGGTTTTGTTTTTAGAAACGTTAAAATTAACAAGCCATTCCTTGCCCCAGTAAACAACAGACTGTAGGTTATTTTTTTAGATCAGCCGCCAATTTGATCTTATCGAACTGATCAGACTTAGTATCGAGACAGGATTAAATGGTTATGCCATCAGCATAGATAGATAGCATAGATTTGTACAGGATTCTATTTTAGCTCACCTGACTGGGATGACAGTGTTGGTAGCAAACACAGAAAGTAAGAAGAAAGGACTAATTGCAAGAAGACAGAATGCATGGTTGTTGGTAAAAGGAACAGCATAACATGCAAATACCAAAATGAAACAAGTTCAACAAGTGGGAAGTGTTTTAACAAAGGACAGAAAGAGTGACACTGAAAGCTAAAGATCCATTGGGATTGTGAAAGATGACTTTTTTTTTTTGACTAGTTTTTCTCACGCCTAATTTCACTTACTTTTACATTGATTGTTATTATAAGTTGTCTGGTATTAGAGATGAAGTATATTTTATCAATCATTTCACCCCAAGTAAGGGAATAAAGTATAAGTCGATCAAAAGAATTTCGTTTGGGAGACGTTAAAATTGATAAGACCTTTCTTGCCCCAATTAACAGCAGACTGTAAGTTACGTTTTAGATCAGCCACCAATTTGACCTTATCGAATTGATCAAATTTACTTTATAGGAGTCATCAACACAGATACCAATTTGAGAGCTGATGTCATTAGGAATGTTGTTAATTGTTATGGGACCTTACCCATAATAACATAATAGACTATTCCATACATAAATACTGCGCCTCAAGAGGAAGCAGGGAGTTCAGTCTGAAGTCTGGAGTGAAGTCCGTCAGGAGTCTGTCAGTCAGTCAGTCGAGTCAGAGGCAGTCCGAAACAGAGTCACGTTCAGACAATTACTACAAGACATTGGAATAGTGATCCTGGTCTAGACGACATTGTTCTCCCTACTAAACCTGATTGTTCGTTCTAACACTTTCTACTTCTCTGTATATATTCCTGTTTGTAATATATCTGTGTTATTCCATATCCGCCTTCGAGTTCTTCTTTATTGGTTCTACCTTGGACTATCACCGTGGTACAAGGAACCGGACCATAACATTAATGAAAATTAAGAACAAAACAGAACCAAGGATAGTGTCCCTGGGGACACCTGCATTAGGACGAAAGAGTCTAGAAGAGCGGTTGTTCAGAGTAACTTTCATTTCATGATATGATAAGAAAGAATGAAGAAGTCCGTAGCGTATAACGGCCGAAACATTGTGATAAATATGGCAACAAAGATGAGGACAATAGTCCGAATAATGTAAATAGTGTAAGACTGAATAAGTTCAAAATCTCGACCGGAGACACCTTAACCTTTCAACTTGTGAACAAAAACCGGCAAATACTGTCGATCGCTTTCGAGATATCCAAAGCAACAACCCCGAGATTCACCATTCTTATCTTAAAGCTCCATAGACACTTTTCGCAATAATCATTAATACATCAGCATTTCTACAGAAACGAAAGCCATATTGTTTGCCTGAAAGAACGCACTGCGTTGTGAGATGCTTAACGAATTCAGCATTGATTAGTGCCTCTAGTAGTTTCCAAGAAAAGGTAGAAGACTAACAAGGTCGGCTTAAGGTGCTGGCAACACGAAAAGTCGCCCAGGTTGCTATCAAGGCCAAGGGTGCCATCATGTTGCCTTGTCATGTGTTTGGTATCTTCCAAAACTAAAGCTTATAAAAACATACTTGCGGTCGTCCATGACTCAGGACAGATTAAATTCTTTGATTATTTTGTCAGTAGAAAATGATCTTGCAAAAAAGAAGATACGTGGAGAAAGTGCCATAGAAAGATTTGCAGATCTGAAGGCTGGAAAAATGTTTTAGGTCGGATAATGAATATGTTTTTTTTTTTCCCTTATATTAAGTTTTATATTGTAATAAATTCGGTATGCTACATTTACAGTTTTCTCCCCGGGAAAAATATATTTGTAAGGGCCCCGAAGTTCAGCTTGCATCAAGGTGCCAGCAGCCATAGGGCCGTTACTGAAGGCTAATAGGATAGTATTTTTTCTGCTTAAGGAGCAATAAAACAATTAGGATTAGTCCGAGAAAGAGGGAGGAAGGATATATATATATTGAACAATAAAAAATACTAAAAAATTAAAATCTTCAGACACACTGGGTTGTAGATTAATATTCTTTCGTTTTTATTATTATTATTTCATTTAGATTCCTCGACTAGTTTCGGCCATCATGGCCATCATCAGCAGAAGAAATATTTTTGCTTGCTGGTCGCAGTGAACTACAGAAATCTCTCTCTCTCTTCTCTCTCTCTCTCTCTCTCTCTCTCTCTCTCTCTCTATATATATATATATATATATATATATATATCGTTGAATATGAGAGAAAAAGAAAATGTTATGCATCTTTTATTTAGTTTTTACAGCATTCTTACATTTTTCAGTTTAGTGGGTTTAAAGGAGTGCAAATATTGTCGGTGTTGTCCATTGGCACAAGCAAGTGGGAGGTAGTGTTTGGGTCTCCAAATATTCCAAGAAATCGGACTCAAAATAAATCTTTCCGAAACAGAAATTATGAATTGGTATTGGAATGAAAGCAATGGTAGCACCTATCCTGAATCCATCATCAAAATGAAAACATCCTCTTTCAAGTGTTCCAAGAAATACGGCTAAAGATAAACCTCCCCAAAACAGAAACTATGATCTGAAATTTGAATGAAATCAGTGATGTCACCTACCCTGAATCTTTTTTTGTTCTTTATTTAAATCGGTATCACCCCAAACAAGGTATTACAGCCATTAATACGTAACGTGTTACAAGGTGTGAAGGAATTAGGAACAGAAACGTTAGTAATGAGTATAAAAAGAAAAGATCAATCAAGAGGACAGTAGATAGCAATTGACATTGGCTGCAAAGCATGGGACTCGGAAGGGAGTTCCACAAAAGAGAAGTGCGAGAAAAGAAACTGTTAGCATAGAAATTACGGGCACATCTAGCTAGCTCAAATGTAAATTTCTGAGAGCACGTCGACAGTCTAGTATAACGCTTAAATTCCTAGAGTCAAGCTACCTCAGTGAAGAGCTCATTTGAACAATTACCATGAAAGTATTTATAAAAAGGCACAGAGAGGCAAACTTACGTCTGTGAGCAAGTTACAGAAGCTGAGCCGCCAGATCAGGACCAATAATATTGCTGATTCTTCTTTGGATTTTATCAAGGAGCTCCAGGTAAGTAGCAGGGGCCCTTGACCATATATGGCAATAATATTCTAAGCATGGACGAATGGTAGACTTATAGATATGTAAGATAGATTCCGGGGAGAAAAATTGTCACCCGGCATTGTGAAACAACTATCTTAGCAGCAAACCTAGCAATGGATTCAATATATTCTTTTCACGTCATGACAGCTGGGAACGTTGGCCCAAGGAGGCGCAACGAGTCGCTTTCCTGGCGGTTAGCATCAGCCATGCTGATGGAAGGTAGAGAGGATCTCTCAGATGATTAATGGAGAGAAGTTTCGTTTTAGGGGCGTTAAAGTTGACAAGCCATCTTTTGCCCCAGTTAACGACGGTCTTGAGGTCGTTTTGAATATCAGCTGCCATTTTGGCCTTGTCGGTCTGATCAGCCTTACTATCGAGGCAGGAGTAAATGGTTGTGTCATCAGCGTAGATGCCAAGTTGAGAGCTGATGTTATCGGGAAGGTCGTTAATGAAGATTAAAAACAGCGTAGGACCAAGGATCCCTGGGGGACACCCGCCTTATTTCCAAATGGATGTGGATGAGTGGCCGTTCAGTTTAAAAATTCAGGATGTGCAATTAGTAAATACTAAACGTTTCAAATACCTTGGCGTATCTACGTACTGACCAAACTCGACGTTGTTTACCTTCGTAAATCGTACCAATTGTCCCTAGAAATAGGACTCAAGATAAACCTTCCCAAAACAGCAACTATGATCTGGAATTCGAATGAAAGCCGTGATGACACTTACCCTGAATCAGTCATAAAAATTCAGGATGCGGAATTAGTAAATACTAAACATTTTAAATACCTTGGGGATATGTTGACAAATTTTGTGGATAATAATAACCTTGAAAAAATCAACATCCTCTACCAAAGGATCAAAGATTGATTGATTGATTCATTCATTCATTTTCTACGGCTTATCAACACTTTGCAGGTTATTTAAAGCCAGAAAATGTTTTTAGAATCTAAAAAAAATGTGTGTGGGGGGAGATAAATGCTTTAGTGTTACAAGTTTTACTAATTACCTTAATTCCCCATGTGTAATACGCCTTCATCCATAATACGCACCCCTAAAATTGTGCTGAAAGTGTGAGGAAATGCTTCTACTCACGCATAATACGCACCCCTTATTTGGTAATCAAACCCTATAAATTGTACCTCTTCATTTTCATTAAGGCCAGCGTTTCCTACTCTTATTTGAAAAAAATGGTTTTTAACATAGAATAGGCTGCACTAAAGATAGTTTCACCCAACACCACAAATTGCTTAAAAACAAAAAACATTAACCTGAAATCGCGAGTCATGTTTTTAAATAGTCTCATCAGATTGAGACTTTCATATGGATGTCATGCATGGCACCAAACCTATTCAGAAATATCTAAAATTTCAGTTGTATACAAACACCTTCTAGGATCAGTGGTTAAAAAGGTGCTTTAAAAGAGCAAGTGAAACCTGAACATCTTGGCAAAAACCATCCTTCTTCAAACCTTGTGGTCTGGCACTATGGAATTACAAAGAATTCTACCAAATAACAGAAATCACATCACTTGAAGACTTTCAACAGCAGCAACAACTAAAATGGATATCACATGTAACTCAAAAAGAAAATAATGATATAATCAAAATGCTGACATTCCATGTTACATCGAATAAAAGGTTAGGAAGGAAAACCCCATCAATACTAGAATTAGCAGTAATAACTTCTGAACTTGAGAAACCTATTTTCCGAAAAAATTGTTTTTAAGATTTTATAAATTTTATAAATGAAAGCAGTGATGGCATCTATCAGGAAAATGAAATAGAATAGGCTGTACACGAGGTAGTGTCGCGCAAAACCGCAAATTGCTTCTTCTTCTATGTCCCGTGTCCCTTCAGGACGTAGGCGATCATGGCTCTCCACTTCCTCCTATCCCTTGTAATTCTCAATATGTTTTGTCCTTTTGCTACTTCTCCCAAATTCTGTTCTGTCAACCCCTTGGCTAAGCCCGCTAGGTATGTCACGTGTCTTTCTTTCCCTCTATCCGCCCTGTGAGTATCAGATTCTTCAAGCCCACCTTTTTCATTATGTGTCCCAGAAATTTCAGCTGCCTCTTCTTGATGTTAAGTATAATCTTCCACCCTGTTTGCATCCCTTCCAAGAACTCGTCATTGGGAAAATGTTCAGTCCGTGGTATCCTTAGCATTCTTCTGTAGAACGATACCTGCATTGCCTCGAGCCTCTTCTTCATCTTTGAGAAGACTGTCCAACATTCGCTGTCGTAAAGGAGGAGAGATATCACCTAGCAGCTTAGTAATGGAGAAAAGGAAACGGAACATAGAATAGGCTTCGCTAAATGTAGTTTCGTCCAACACCGTAAGTCACAACAAAACCCAAACTCGAGTCATGTTCTTAAATAGTCTCATCAAATCGAGACATTCATATGGATGTCATGCATCATGCCAAAACCTTTCAGAAATATCGAAACTTTTAGCTGTATACAACTGCTTTCTAAGATCAATGGGCTAAAAAGGCCCCTGTGCAAATGAGAGCCTGTAAGTTCTTACCAAGGATCATCCTGTGGAATGGCGCTACAGAATCCCAGACAAAGAACTGTACTAAATGACGGAAACCCCATCACTTGAGGACTTTCAGCAACAAAAACAGCTAAAATGACATAAGATGTTGATTTTATAACTGATAAGCCGTCTTTTGTCCCAGTTAATGATAGTTTTAAGGTCATTTTGAACATCAGCTGCCATTTTAAACCTTGTTGGACTGATCAGCCCTTCTATCGAGGCAGGAGTAAAAGATCTAGAACTTGAATAAAAGCCGTGATTGTACTTATGTTGAATTCATCATAAACAAATCAGAATGTGGAATTTGAAAATACTAAACACTTCAAATACATCGACGTATGGATCAGTTATAATATCCGTTTAGGTGAAACCAAGGTAGGTTTGCCTGGCTCCTTAGGTTTATCTTAGGTTTTACTCTACTTAGTGTATTGAGCACTTTATGTAGTTGTCTTTTACTTGTTTTGTTTTTTTTTCTTTGGACTTTGAGCTTGAACTCTGGACGATTGTTTTCGCCTTGGTTTAATGTTCTTGGTTCTTTCTTTTTTTTATTCCCCATTTTTCCTCGGGTACCGATTTGTTCTACTGCAAGTTGAGTTATCCGAGGTTTTTCCAAACGAGTACCACCATTTATATATATATATATATATATATATATATATATATATATATATATATATATACTAACTCTCCACTTTTGGTGTACAATGATCTCATAACCAATCAACCTTAGCATTCTATTCCTAATAATCCTCACTGAAAAGAAATTGGAAAAAGACCCACCAGAGGGTCGTGTAGGCCTTGCAGACATATCACCACGACCCTTCGGTGAGTCGTGTGGGAGCCAACATGTTAAGAAAATCGAAATAAAGTCTAGTATCCCATCGCTTCAGAAATATGCTTTGCTTAGCACCGTAAATATTCTTTAACCCAAACTTCTGGTTGATCTGTCAATGAATGCTAGTTATGTGCCATGCGTGATAGACACGTAGACGATACATGACTGACGAGGCAGATATTTTCCTCGCAGTAGGTTGCAATTTCTTTCTGCGGTAGACCAGTTGCCGTCCAAGACTACAGAACCTGGTCTGTTCTGATATTTACTCATAGATAGTGGGAGAAGAGGATTCATGTAAGTGATTGTAATGGATTAGATAGATATATATCAGCAGACTGTGAGAGATAGATAGATAGAAACAAACAGACCGAGATAGATAGATCAGTTATGTGCCATGCGTTTTATACACGCTTGGGCGATCATATCTTTCGATACATGACTGACGAGGCAGATTTTTTCCCGCAGTAAGAGCCCAGTCTGTCCTGCTACTTACCCATAGCTGGGTGGAGAAGAAGAGGATTCATACCTTTGCCAAGGGTATTAGCTCGACTGAAATTCGAACTCGACACTCCGATTCCTCAATGCGAGCCGCTATCCATTACTCCACCGTGCCTGGGTATGAATGCTAAATGTTTTTTCTTTAGAAGGACACGGCTAATATTACTATTACCATTACCAATACGACTATATATATATATATATATATATATATATATATATATATATATATATATATATATATATATATATATATATATATATATATATATATATATATATATATATATATATATATAAAATAAGAGTTCGGTTTAATAGAAAAATTGTGTCTATGTTATTTTAAAGCCAAACACAAGCAAGGTCGCGAGATTTGAGACAGAGAAAGGGTGTGAGGAAGAGAGTTAAGTAGGACGAGAGAGAGAGAGAGAGAGAGAGAGGACAGGGAAGGCAGAAAGGTAGAGAGATGGATAGGGAGTGAGTATGAAGTGGAACAGAAGGAGAAGTGGGGGAGTGTTTCTTCAATGTCGACGTCATTATTACTTCAGTATTTTAAATGAGTTGCAACCAAGGATCGCCTTCCTGGCTGCTCACTCTTATCTTTACCTCTTCCCTCTACTCACCACCTCGCTTTTACTCATCATCGCCACGCCGCCAAGCGAAAGCAGATTAGACCGACAGACCGACAGACCGACCGAGAAACAGGCACACAGACACTAGCAGAAAAATTAATATTTGGTTTATTATTTGAAGGTAATTTAATATTTTAATAAATAGATAAATCAAATCAAAATCAAATAAAAAAAATAAAAAAATCAACTAAAAAAAAGAAATTAAAAAATTAGATCTATCTATCTATCTATCTATCTATCTATCTATCTATCTATCTATCTATCTATCTATCTATCTATCTATCTCAGTCTGTTCCTATCTATCTATCTATCTATCTATCTATCTATCTATCTATCTATCTATCTCAGGCTGTTCCGATCTATCTATCTATCTATCTATCTATCTATCTATCTATCTATCTATCTATCTCAGTCTGTTCCTATCTATCTATCTATCTATCTATCTATCTATCTCAGGCTGTTCCTATCTATCTATCTATCTATCTATCTATCTATCTATCTATCTATGTGTGTTTGTTTATGTTTATCAATTCATCTATATATCTTTCTGTCTATTGTTCAATAGGTGGTGTCAAAACATGGGATTTTGTTCGCACATGAGTGATATACACACACACACACACACACACACATATATATATATATATATATATATATATATATATATACATATATATATCGCACATGAGTGATATATATATATATATGTGTGTATATGTGTGTATATATATATATATATATATATATATATATATATATATATATATATATATATATATATATATTCTAAAACGGTTATATTTCAAACCTTTTTCATGTTTCTTTTTTTAAATTAGAAATAATCATTCTTAATTTGATAGATATATTGGTTGGGAGAGAGAGACTGATAGATAGATAGATAGATAGATAGATAGATAGATAGATAGATAGATAGATAGATAGATAGATAGAGAAAGAGAGAGGACGGCCAATTGAAATATATCAAAAGAAAGAATTCTTATTTACATATACATGATCACACATACACACACACACATACAAAGAACGCACACATATGCCCACACGCACACGAACTCACTTACACACACATATTCCCCACACATACATCCTTATATATATATTATATACAGTGTGCGATGGATAAATTGCCATCTAAAATAACACTGACATCTCAGTTTGATGTATTTACCAAAATTACATAAAATATATTGAAATACTAGAGAGTAAATTTATTCAATAAAATCGCCATTGGCTTCAACCACGGCCTCCAGACGACTTTGGAATCTTCTGAAATTCTTCTGGGCGGTCTCCTTGTTTAAATTGGTGATTGCTGCCATAATCCTTGCCTTCAGTTCATCTTGGGTGTTACAAGGAGATTTGTGGGTCTCTCATTCAACTGCACTCCACACATAATAATCAAAGTGGGGTTGGAGTTTAGGGAATTAAGTGGCCAATTATAAGTGGTGATTTGGCCGCAGAAATTTTTTGACAGCTATGACTGGCATCTCCTGCTTGTGTGGCAGTGTACAGAGTCCTGTTGCGAGACAGAGGGTCTTCCAGCAGCCACATTCTTGACCTAGGGCAGCACTACCTCCTCAAGGCACGTGATGTAGGCCACCGTGTTGAGTCTGAGTCCCTCATCAACAAATTCAGGAGTTCTTTTCTTATCGAAGGTTTCAGAATAAGTTTTCGTTCGTAATCACCATCAAACTCATCCAACTCTTTCCGAATCCTCTGTACTGTACTGAGGATTGACACCCCAACACCCTGAAATGTTCGTATTGGAGTTTCCGGTGCGAATGACAAGCGTTACAGCATGCTGTTTCCAAATTTCTGGCAGAGTGAATGGCGTCATGGTGGTCTTTTTTCTCAAAGTCGGTCCCCAACTGAACCCTATTATAGAGTTGTGTCGACAAAATAAAAAAGAAACAACGCGTATGCGAGAAATAAAATTATAAAATGGCAACAATTTACCCATCACACCTATATATATATATATATATATATATATATATATATATATATATATATATATAGAGAGAGAGAGAGAGAGAGAGAGATAGATAAAGCGAAGAATAGAATGATATTAAGAAAATATTCTTTTATATTCATGAGCTAAAGGTAAAACACGCTCCAACAAACTCTTTCAAAAACACATCTATCTATCTATCTATCTATCTATCTATCTATCTATCTATCTATCTGTTTTGATCCCGTCTATTCATTATCTATCTATCTATCTATCTATCTATCTATCTATCTATCTATCTATCTATGTATCTATCTTTTGTTATCTTCGGTCTCAATTCCTGTTCTTTTTTTATTCTCTCTCCTGAATATTGTTTCCTTATATTCTCTCACATTCAGTAACCCCTTGCCTTTACTGGCTGTATTGCCTTGGTTGGGAGTTAAGTGACTAATATATATATATATATATATATATATATATATATATATATATATATATATATATAAATAAATTATGTCTGATTATTTTTAGCATAGTCCATGAAAGGACTATGCTAAAAATAATCAGACATAATATTTTTCCGTCTATTACAATTAAATGAGGCAAGGAATGCACTGTAACAATGAAAAATCAATTTTATTTCCCAAGTACTTTCCATCTCTTTCATCAGGTGTGCAATTGGTAAGGCAAAAACTATGTGTAACTATCCATGACTGAATTTTTTTTCTTTTGTGTTTAAATGCAACGGCTTACAGTCATCCTTTAGCCTTCATTAGAACGTGAAAAATTATCCAGTATGGAATTTTTTTAACGTAGAAATGTCCTGGTCGAGCGCGCATTAAAGCATGAAAATTGTTCTTTTTATAGGCATTTTTAGAACATTATTACAGTATTTGTAGCTGATTCTATTCAGTGTCAGCTTCAATTTTTTAATGTAGATTGCTTCGAGGATTTGTAATTTTAATTTGTTATTTTCTTGGTGTAGGATAGTTGTGTTATCAATCAGTATTTTTCTATACTGTGAATGTTGGTGTAAATATCTCGCAATGGACGAATGATCAGACATGTGTAGAGTAAGACGTCTTGATAATGTAGTTCTCGTATATCCAAGATATATATATTTGTTTTTCTGTCGGATATACAAAGGGAAATTTGAATTGATACATAATGTTGGTTTTACGTAATACATCAGTTGGTGGGAGGGACTTGTTGCGAACAATTAAATTGGTTGTATTGTAATATGTATAAAATATGATTAATTTTTTTTCTTGGGATCCATAGGATATATATTGGTACGAAAGATTTTTTTAAAATGATTTTCTCATCTTGTTTATAGTTAACATGCATTTGGTTACAGTATAAAAGTTTGATATATTTCGAGTCCTTTGATCTATTTGATGTGTGTTGAGATTTTTGATGAATCGTCTTATTTGTTCATCTACAATGTTGTTTAGGAAGTTAATATTAATTAGAGTCTGCTTAATATTTTTACTTCAGTGTAGAAAATCTTTTTGTGGAGGAATTAATTTGTGCTCAATTAATTAGGACATTCCCTCTCATAGCTGAAAGTGCAAGAGGTTTTGCTGGTTATTTTATTTTATATTGCGAGGTAATAAATGTGTTATTATTTGTGCCTATTAAAATGTCAAGGAAAGGGATTTTATTATCTTTGTTAAGTTCGTATGTGAACTTTAGGACAGACTTTTTTTAAAAAAAGTTTAGTTGGAGTTCCATTATTTCTTCTATATTTTTAACTAAAATAATTATATCATCTACATATCTTAGGTAGATGGAGGGTTTCTTGGTGGTGTTAAATCTATTATTTTCTAGCTTGGCCATATGGAAGTTACTGAAGGTTAGGCTCAAAAGTGAACCCATTGAAACGCCATCACGTTGCACATAAACGTTATTTCTGTGATCATAATATGGGACTTCAGTAGTACAGGTTAAAAGTAATTTTCTTAGTATTTTAGGCTTAATTTTTAATGCGGGTAGAGATGAATTATTATATATATTTTTAATAATAATGTCAATGGTTTCTCTAACTGGAACGTTAGTGAACAGATTTTCGACGTCAAGTGATGCTATGTTGAGGAGGCACGGTGGAGTAATGGATAGCGGCTTATATTGAGGAATCGCAGAGCCGAGTTCGAATTCCAGTCGAATCCATTACATTCACTTACGTGGGAAAGGTGTGAATCCTCTTTCTTCTCCCTCCAGCTATGGGTAAATAGCAGGACAGACTGGGTTTTATAGCCTTGGATGGCAACTGGTCTAGGAGAAGGAAAACTCTGAATTCAAACCTGCCCTTAGAGGAGGGTGAATGGAGTCTCTCTGAGCCTTGGTTGGCAATCCCTTTAGTGTTGGTGTCACGATAAAAACACCCTTGATAGCCCTAGCGAAGCATCAAGAATTCAGCTATTTGACTAGATTATGAACTACACCAATCAAAGTATTGGTGAGTTCAATCTCGGCTGAGGCCGCAAGATGAAGAGAAGATGCTATGTTTTCATTATTAGGTTTTTCGGATTTTAATATTTGTATAGGTTCAAAGGTTGAATTAATGCTATAATTTGTTAGGTATGTATGGCGTAATTAATTGGTTAAGCGTTTTAGTTGTTAGACAGGACTGGGAATTTGGGATATAATAAAGCAGAATGGAAAGTTAGGCTCGTGCGATTTGATAGAACCATAAATGTATCCTGGTTTATGGTCTTCGATTATTTTGCTAAGTTTTACATTGTCTTGTTCCGCATTGTTAACTGTAATTAATGTATTATTTTTCATTTTTAGCTGAGTAGTACGATTAAGATAAAAGAATAAAAATTCCATAATGGATAATTTTTTTCACATTCTAATGAATGCTAAAGCATAACTGTCAGCCGTTGCATTTAAATGCAAAAAGAAAAAAATTCAGTCATGGATAGCTACACATAGTTTTTTTACCTTACCAATTGCACCCCTGATGATGATCTCAGAAAGAGATGGAAAGTACTTGAGGAAATAAGTGATTTTCACTTTTACATTGCATTTCTTTCCTCATTTGATTGTAATACATGGAAAAATATCTGTGAATATGAACAGATTATGCTAAAAATAAGCAGGCATAATGTTTGTAATTTGTTTAATCAGACCCGCTTACAAGGGAATTTGCTGCCTAAAACACACACACACACACACACACACACACACACACACACACACACACACACACACACACACACATGGATAAATGTAAGACGGAATCAGTCACTTTGATTGGACACCCTCCCCAACAAAAAAATTAAACAAATCCCAATTCGCCTGAATTCCTACATAGTTGTTGTAACCTAAAAAGGGTTACTGAATGAGGAATAACCAAAACGGAGGTTGAAAATGAAATGATAATCTTTATAACATCAACAAAACACAATACTCGCCACCGGCGTGAAGTAGGTAAACCACTGCTAGTGGTACACTACTTAGACAGCATATTACCCCCACTTACAATCGGGTCCAACGTATTTATGAGGATGGTTGTAACAGATGGCCCCTCCAATTGAGACACTGGAGAGCTGAGTTCGAATTCCAGTTGAGTTTGTTAGATTCACTTATGTACAAATACCCACTGAAAAGTTATAAATACAACCCCCCTCTCAGCTTTGGATAAATAGCAGGAAAAACTTGGCTCTATAGCCTCGGTTGATAACCAGTCTAGAAGAAAACTAGAGTTCTTAGTGTGCTGTAAGGTCTGCAAACGACCCTCCTCAGGTTTTGTAACCAACTACAATTTTCGGAATAACCGAATGAGATATCCATCGGTTCTATGTATTCGACTATTCCGAAAAGTGTGGTTGGTTCCGCAGAAGTCTTCACCACTATAAATTAAATGATATGTGCGAGTAGTCTGTCTGTTCGTTTCTATGAACTGAGTTGTATCCACATACGTCCAAAACGATAGGAATTTATTAATTTTTTTCGTTTTCTATGGCTTATCAACCCTTTTCAGGTTATTTAAAGCCAGAAAATATTTTTAGATTGTAAGAACTTTTAAGAGATAATAAGGGTTACTTTGATACAAGTCTACTAATTAACCCGTAGCTGGGGGTGTATGGGAGAACAGGTGGATTCACATCTTTCCCAAGTTTGCAAATGAATAAAATGAACCTACCGGGAATTGGAACTCGGTACTCTGATTAACAATTCCGTGACATAATCCATTACACCACCCGCACATCCAAACTTACAACACCAGGTATTCCCAAGAGGTCACCCATTTAGGTACCGACAAGTCTCGACGTTGCTTAAATTCGGTAATTGTATGAGAACCGGTGTATCAACGTGCTTTGGAATATATATACACACAAACACACACACACACACACACACACACACACACACACACACATATATATATATATATATATATATATTAATTAAAACAATCCACCACGTTTCTTTACACACACACACACACACACATATATATATATCTTGATATATAAATATATAAAGTATATATATATATATATATATAGTTATGAGAAAATTAAAAGGGCTCTGGTGAAATAAATTATTATAATGGAGCCTTAAAGTGGTCTGTTTTTTTTTTTATATATATATATATATATATATATATATATATATATATATATATAAAGTGTCTTTTCTTCTCGGTGATGCTGAAATATGCATTTGCAGACACAGAGAGTGGCGTCAAGTTTCAGTTTCGAACTGGTGGTCTCTTCAATCATCAGCTCTTCAAAGCCAAGATCCAGCTTCGTACGCAAATTATTCGTGACTGCTGATGCTGCTGCCCTTGTAGTGACATCTTTTGAGGAGGCCCAACATCTAATAAATCGTTTCTCTGCTGCATGTAAAGCCTTTAGTCTTACATTTAGCATAAAGAAAACTGAAGTCGTGCACCAAACTTGTCCCACTCCGAAGCACTTCTGTGTGGAGAAACACAAACCACCAGTCTACAAATTTCCAGAGAGACCATTGAAAGTAGAAGACAAAGCCCTGAATTATGTAAAGTCTTTCACCTATCTTGGTAGCAAAGTCAACTACAGCGGAACTTTAGATGATGAAATCATGCATTGGATTGCTAAGGCTACCAGTGCTTTCGGCAAACTTCGCCATCGCTTGTGGAATGAGTGGGCTATTCGACCAGATAAGAAAATTCGGGTTTACAGAGCTGTTGTACCTGTCATCCTTTTGTATGGCTCAGAGTCGTGGACTCCATAAAGGTACCATATACACCAGCTAGATGTTTTCCATAAAAGCTTTCTGCGTGCAGTCTGTGGAGTTAACCTTCAAAATAGGACATCTAATGTAGATCTGTTCAACAGGTGTAATATTGGAGGAATCGAGACTTTTCTCATACAGTCTCAGTTACTGTGGACTGGTCATGTCTTGAGAATGTCTGATGACAGGATACCCAAGATCCTAATGTACAGCCAGTTAGATCAGGGCTACAGGAATGTAGGACGCCCATGGCTAAGATACAAAGACAAGCTGAAAAGCAACTTGTCAGCAGTCAATATACCACATAACACCCTTTAGGGCTTATCCTTGGAGCGGGTAGAATGGAGATCAACGTGTTTTAGTGGACTCAGCAGTTTTCAATCCACTCGTCTGAATCATCTTCAAGAAGCGAGAGCAAGATCTAAAAGATCAGCTACTCTAACAGTGATCTCATCTCACAATCCTCACACTTGCTCCAGCGGGTCTTAAATGCCACTTAAGATTATCGCACAAAATTTCATAACAGAATCAACAAAGCTGTTAGATCCTCATACGTCGAAACCGACGGGAGAGTCCATTATGAGGATATATGTACAAACATCCGTATCTATCTACTTGTTTATATATATCTCTAATTCTCACTCTGACTCTCTCTATATATATATATATACACGTCAGTATCTATCTATCTATCTATCTATCTATCTATCTATCTATCTATCGATCTATCTATCTATCTATCTATCTATCTATCTATCTATCTAAAGTCTATATGTAGATGTATATAGAGGGAGACAATTTGTAATTATATATATATATATATATATATATATATATATATATATATATATATATATATATTATACTTAAACTTAAACAAATCTATAGTGTATACGTGCTATATCTCATCAAATGAGAACCCCAGAGATATTAAGCTGTATGTGGGGTCAACTAGCAGGACTTTTAAGGATAGGTATTAGAATCACATGAACTCCTTTACAAATACGGCCAAATGAAATATGACATCACTTTCGAAATATTTTTGGAAACTCAAGGAAGAAAGAAAAACACCTAATGTTAAATGGAAAATCCTAAGACAAGCCAGAATCTGCAATTCTCTGAGAGAACCTTGCTTCTTATGTTTACGGGAGAAAATATGTTATATTGAACTCTTGAATAACACCCAATTATTAAATCAAAGATTTGAAACAACCGTTTCTGTAGACATACTAAGGATCTAACACTACAATCTTGTTAAATTCTTAATTCCATAACTATAAACGTTTTAAAATTATAAATGGCCTCCTTCGATATATTCCCTACCCTCTTATGTACCTCTCCACTAATTAAATTATGATTCTTAAATTTTTTAAAATTTTTTATTTATTTATTTATTTTTTCATATATATTACTGGTAATATTTTTTAGATAAATCGTTTTTACATCCATACTTATTCTACACGCTATACGGTCCAGGAATATTTCAAAATTTGATTATAAAAGGTTATATTAACATCCCTTATTATTTTAGAGGAAATCACCACTTCAAAATTTTAATCCACAAAACACGTTGATTGATTACAGAATTAGTAGTGATAACCCCAACATAAATACATGCAATTCAGCTCTAGAATTTTTATAGTAAACCAAAAATAACATTCCCAATTGCTACTAGAAGTATAGCTACAATTTTTACCTACTTAAACGTAATACTATCCACTATCTCCATCTTTCCTCCCTTACCATTCACTCTTAGGACGCTTGTGAGATGATGTGCCTGGACTTTTGACCGGTGTTTATCAGCAGGAAAATTTCTATAGACCAGTCAACATTAAACACCCAATCCATTCATCACCAAACTGATATCAACAAGCACTATTATTTCACTCCGTCACCTATATATATATATATATATATATATATATATATATATATATATATATATATATATATTCTTCTCAAACAAATGGAAAAAAAGGAAGTGACGTTTCACATACTGCTTGCCTACAAGCAGGATTGTTCATAACCATTTTCGATTCTCACCCGTCGAAGTGCAGTTGAAATGCATTGAAACTAAGTTGCATCTTTGTGAGTAAAATGGTTTCGTCTATATGATAAAATTATATATATATATATATATATATATATATATATATATATATATATATATATATGAAGATATATGAAGATATATCTACAACATCAGTATCTATCTACTTGTTTATATATATCTCTAATTCTCACTCTCTCTCTCTCTCTCTCTCTCTCTCTCTATATATATATATATATATATATATATATATATATATATACACGCCAGTATCTATCTATCTATCTATCTATCTATCTATCTATCTATCTATCTATCTATCTATCTCAGTCAGTACAATATTCATTCATCTATCTATCTATCTATCTATCTATCTATCTATCTATCTATCTATCTATCTATCTAAGAATTCCCCTGTATTTCTCTTAATTTATGTTCAGATAGATACACGAGATGTACATATATGCGAAAAACCATACAAGATGCTTCTGGAAAAGAAGATAAATATTCAAATAGTTATTAATAAAGTTGAACGAGTCTTAGCCTCATCTGTGCGTACACTAGTTTGCCAATCTATCTATCTATCTATCTATCTATCTATCTATCTATCTATCTATCTATCTATCTATCTATCTATCTCTGCCTTTTCTTATCTATCTATCTATCTATCTATCTATCTATCTATCTATCTATCTATCTATCTATCTCAGTCTGTTCATTATCTATCTATCTATCTATCTATCTATCTATCTATCTATCTATCTATCTATCTGCGTATTTTTATTATCTCTCCCTTCTATCCTCAGGCACGATGATTGTGGTACCCTTGTAAACAGAATTCACCAGAAATAACGCGGAAATCGGTTTTTATCGTGATTGTCAAGCCGAAGCCTTTCCCTTCTCTTTGTCTTCCTTGTCACTGTCATAAATTAACATTTAACGCATCGTCCTTATCGTCACTAACATCACGATTCTGTTTCGATGAGTATTATTGGAGGCGAGAAGAGATAATAGTTGTAACAGCAGGTTTGACGCGGCCTGGATCGATGTCAGCCAACTAGCAAATATGGCAGAAGCAATAGAGAGAAGAGGAAAGACCGAAACAAAAGAAAAAAAATAGCGAATGAATCAAAAGAAGAAGAAAAAAGAAAGAAAGAAAGAAAGAAAGGAATATCAGGAAGAGTCGAAGGAAATAAAAAGAAGTGGAAATAAAACCACAAGGCGAAAGATAGATTGTACGAATAAGAGAGGCCAGAAAGAAAGAATGAAAATTACGGTAAGAATGAGAAAGAAAATGAGGAAATAAAACATGTCATGAAAAAATAGAAAAATAAAGAGGAAAAAGAAGGAAAACTAAAAAAAAAAAAAAAAAATTCAGAAAAAATCAAAGAAAGGAAGGAAGAAGGAAAAAAGAAAGATAAGGTGAAATTTACGGTAAGAATGAGAAAGAAAATAAAAAATGACATGAAGAAATAGAGAAAGAAAGAAGAAAAAGAAGGAAAACTGAAAAAAAATTAGAATAAAACAAAAAAAGGGAGGAAGAAAGAAAAAAGAAAAAAAGGGTGAAAATTAAGGTAAGAATGAGAAAAAATTCATTGAGAGAAGAAAGAAATTGAAAGAAAGAATTAAAAGAAAATGAGGAAATATAGAATGACGTGAAGAAATAGAGAAAGTATTCTCTTTCTTTCTCTATTTCTTCACGAAAACAAAAAAAAATGAACAAAAGAAAGAAAGGAAGGAAGAAAGAAAAAAGAAAGAATGAAAGAGTGAAAAGTAAGGTAAGAATCAGAAAATATGTACAGAGAAAAAAGAAAATTGAAAAAAAAATACAAAGAAAATGAGGAAATATAGAATGAAATAGGAAAAAGAACGAAAACTAAGAAAATGAACAAAAGAAAGAAAGAAAGAAAAAAGAATGAAAATTAAGGTAAAAATGAGAAATACATTGAGAGAAGAAAAAAAATTGAAGAAAGAACTTAAAGAAAATGAGGAAATATAGAATAACATAAAGAAATAGAGAAAGAAAGAGGGAAAAAACGAAAACTAAGAAAATGAAGAAAACATAGAAAGAAAGAGTGAAAATTTCAGTAAGAATGAGAAAACACATTGAAAGAAGAAAGAAATTTAAAAAAAGAATGCAAAGAAAAAGAAGAAACATAGAATGTCATGAAGAAATAGAGAAAGAAAAAGGGAAAAGAAACACAAACTAAAAAAAAATCAACAAAACAAAGAAAGTAAGGAAGAAGGAAAGAAAGAAAGCATGAAAGAAAGAATGAGGGAAAATTGTGGTAAGAATGAGAAAATACAATGAAAGAAAATTGAAGAAACAATGCAAAGAAAATGAGAAAATATAGAATGACATGAATAAATAGATAAAGAATGTGGGGAAAAGAAAGAAAAAATTACAAAAAAGGAAGAAAGAAATAAGAAAGAAAGTGTGAAAAATACGGTAAGAATGAGGAAATCCATTGAGAGAAGAAAGAAAGTTGAAGAAAAAAATGCGAAGAAAATGAGGAAATATAGAATGATATGAAGAAATAGAGAAAGAACGAGGAGAAAGGAAAGAAAACAAAAAAATTAAAAAAGAAAGAAAAAAGAATGAAAGAGTGAAAATTACGGTAAGAATGAGAAAATACAATGAAAAAGAAAGAAAATTGAATAACCAATGCGAAGAAAATGAAGAAATATAGAATGGCATGAAAGAATAGAGAAAGAAAAAGGGGAAAAGAACGTACACTAAAAAATCAACAAAACAATGAAAGAAAGAAAGAGAGAAAGAAAGAAAGAAAGAAAGAGTGAAAATAACGCTAAGTTTGAGAAAATATATTGAGAGAAGAAAGAAAATTGAAGAATGCGAAGAAAATGAGAAAATATAGGATGACATAAAAAATAGAGAAAGAAAGAGGGAAAAATAAAGAAAGCTAAAAATGAACAAAACAAAGAAAGAAGGTAAGAAAGGGAGAAAGAAAAAAAAAACGAAAGAATGAAAATTACGGTATGAATGAGAAAATACATTGAAATAAGAAAGAAAATTGAAGAAAGAATGCAAAGAAAATGAGGAAATATAGAACGACGTGAAGAAATAATGAAAGCGCGAAAAAGAAAGAAAACTAAAACAATGTATAAAACAAAGAAAGAAAGGAAGAAAGAAAAAGAAAGAAAGAGTGTAAATAAAATGAGGAAATATAGAATGACATGAAAGAATAGAGAAAGAAAGAGGGGAAAAGAACGTACACTAAAAAAATCAACAATACAAAGAAAGAAATAAAGAATGAAAATTATGCTAAATATGAGAAAATCTATTGAGAAAAGAAAGAAAATTGAAAAATGAATGCTAAGAAATTGAGGAAATATAGAATGACATTAAGAAATAAGAAAGGAAAAGGGAAAAGAACGAAAACTAAAAAAAAAATGAAGGAAACAAAGCAAGGAAGGAAGAAAGAAAGATGCATTGCACATGATTTTTAGTATAAAAATGCATTGCAAATGATTTTACTATAAAAATGCATTGCAAATGATTTTTACTATGAAAATGGATTGCACATGATTTTTACTATAAAAATGCATTGCACATGAGTTTTACTATAAAAAATGCATTGCAAATGATTTTACTATAAAAATGCATTGCAAATGATTTTTACTATGAAAATGGATTGCACATGATTTTTACTATAAAAATGCATTGCACATGAGTTTTACTATAAAAATGCATTGCAAATGATTTTACTATAAAAATGCATTGCAAATGATTTTTACTATGAAAATGGATTGCACATGATTTTTACTATAAAAATGCATTGCACATGAGTTTTACTATAAAAATGCATTGCAAATGATTTTACTATAAAAATGCATTGCAAATGATTTTTACTATGAAAATGGATTGCACATGATTTTTACTATAAAAATGCATTGCAAAGGATTTTTACTATAAAAATGCATTGCAAATGATTTTTACTATAAAGATGCATTGCAAATGATTTTTACTATAAAAATGCATTGCAAATGATTTTTACTATGAAAATGGATTACACATGATTTTTACTATAAAAATGCATTGCAAATGATTTTTACTATGAAAATGGATTGCACATGATTTTTACTATAAAAATGCATTGCAAATGATTTTTACTATAAAAATGCATTGCAAATGATTTTTACTATAAAGATGCATTGCAAATGATTTTTACTATGAAAATGGATTGCACATGATTTTTACTATGAAAATGGATTGCACATGATTTTTACTATAAAAATGCATTGCAAATGATTTTTACTATGAAAATGGATTGCACATGATTTTTACTATAAAAATGCATTGCAAATGATTTTTACTATGAAAATGGATTGCACATGACTTTTACTATAAAAATGCATTGCAAATGATTTTTACTATAAAAATGCATTGCAAATGATTTTTACTATAAAAATGCATTGCAAATGATTTTTGCTATAAAGATGCATTGCAAATGATTTTTACTATAAAAATGCATTGCAAATGATTTTTGCTATGAAAATGCATTTCAAATGATTTTTACTATAAAAATGCATTGCAAAAGATTTTTACTATTGTTATATACCTATGTACCCATGAACACTAATGGGTATGTCCCAATCCTCATAAATATGTTGAACACTATTGTAAGGTGGGGAGTAATATGCTGTCTAAGTAGTCTACGACTAGCAGTGGTTTACCTACTTCACGCCGCTGGCGAGTATTGTATTTTGTTGATGTTATAAAGATTACCATTTCAATTCCAACCTCCGTTTTGGTTATTCCTTATTCAGTAACCTTTTCTAGGTTACAACAAATGCATTGCAAATGATTTTTACTATGAAAATGAACTGCAAATGTATTTACTATAAAAATGCATTGCAAGTGATTTTTACTATAAAAATGCATAGCAAATAATTTTTACTATAAAAATGCATTGCAAATGATTTTTACTATTGTTATATACCTATGTACACTAATGGGTATGTCCCAATCCTCATAAATATGTTTAACACTATGTGTGGTGGGTGGGTAATATGCTATCTAAGTAGTCTACGACTAGCAGTGGCTTACCTTTTTTCACTCCGCTGGTGAGTATTGTATTTTGTTGATGTTATAATGATTACCATTTCATTTCTAACCTCTGTTTTGGTTATTCCTCATTCAGTAACACTTTCTAGGTTAGAACAGAAAAAAATGCCATCAAAAAGAGAGAATAAACTGAGACAAAAAAAGAAAATTGTGAAAGGAAAGAGATATAACAAGAATGAAATAGAGAAAGTAAAAAGAAAAATGAAGGAAAATGAAGGAAAATAGCTAGAAAGAAACTAAAAAGAAAGAAAGAATGAAAGAAAAAGAAGTCAAAAAAGAAAAAAATATCTGAGAAAAAAATTTACGAAATATGAATCTGAGGAAAGATAAAAAGACAAAATATGGAGGAAAAAAAAAAAAGGAAAAGAAAGAAAATTAAAAATGAATGAAGAAAAAAAGAAAAGCAAGATTAGAATGGGAAGATAAAAATAAAATATTGAGGAAGAAAAAGGAAAATGCTGAATGAGGAAATGGCCAAAAAATAAAGAAGGAAAAAATGAAGAAGTCTATGAAATAAAACTAAATAAATGAAGAAAGAACTGATAAAAGATAGAAAAAAATTATGAGCAGAAGAAATAAAAGCAAAGAAGTGGAGAAAGTAAGGAATAAGAAAATTGGAAATAAGGCATATTGGTTAAAAAGCAGACGATAAATAGCAGAATGCCAAGAATAAATGAAAGAATGACTAATGAAGTAATAAAGGAATGAAAAATCATTCTTAGTCGAACAGAAATGATTAACGATACCTCGCGTAAAAACTGTTTATAAAATCTAACCACAACCCACTTTACTGACACACTTCATACCACTCAACCAGCATAATCAAACAAATTGTTCTCTCTCAGCTGCAGGCTATCCGACGAGTCGTTGGAAGAAATATCCTTCAACGAAGCAAAATGGAATATGAAATAGCACTAAAAAACAATGGGTTTTCGGCATAAGTTTATAACCAGACACAAGAGAACAAAAACCCAACAGAAAAGGAAATATATGTTTCAACCTCCCTCATAAAATAAGAATGTAAAAGCAAATATATGTAATATACGCAAAATATTCATGAATCGCACTGACAAAAACTTCCCCAAATCAAATAAACTGCATAAAATGTTCAGCCGAAATACACAACAAATTAGCTATAGCTGCATCGAAACATTACAAATCCCAATAAACACAACGGGAAAATTACCAGTGCACCACAAACATCTAAAAATCCCACCTATAAGTGCCGATCAAAGTACGAATATCCACTAAACGGTAAATGCCTACAAAATATTGTAATATACGAAGCTACGGTATGATCCAAAGGAAACCCTGAAAAATATATAAAAGAATAACAAGGTCTCCAGTAACAGAGAAGTTAATCACAACAAACATTATTTAGCAACAGAGAATATGGAAGTATTACAACATTATCAAAACATGTAAAATAAGCAAAAACATAATCAGCTTAGAGCAAAATCTCAAAACGAAGTAAACTTTGTCTAGAGGAGACAATAACCATAAACACATTTGCAGAGCAAGACGAAATCATAACCAAAAGATCAGAGCTGATTTTGAAATGAAAGCAGGAAGACAAATACCAACTACCCTACCTACAACCACACCATAACCAAATAAAAGAAATAGAATTGCATAATCTAAATCTAATAAATTTTATTTCAAATACCAAAGCATAATAAACAACAAGTAAATATGTAAATGAAATAATTATTCTGAAGTTCACAACTATAAATATCTCAGCGCATTATCCTTAAGCAAACGAACTGAGAAAGAACAGTATCTTCCTTCGTCGACTTCCTTCAATCACCCAACATCTTATATAGAGAGCCCGATAAGAGAACAAAAAGGATAGAGAGAACACAAAAGAATAGTTTTCTCCCAAAAGAAGAAAAGAATGGCTGAAACTTCCCTTTTACCTGCACAGGGTGGGTCTTCTAAATTTGACTGTAACCCCTTGAACAATTCTGACAGTATGACGAGAACGTACACAGTGTAGTATGTCAATCCAATTTTCCTGATATTCATCTGCACAAACGTAATTGAATGACTAAATTGAAAATAAAAAAAAAACTATTATTATTGTAATATATAGATTTGTACATTTAATTTTTCTTGTGTTCGAACAAGAGCTTTCTTTTCTGGACAAAGAGTGTGTAAGAACTGTCCAAATGTTTTATATTTCCGAGTGCTTTCGGCTATACCTTTAGCCATTATCAAGGATGATTCGATTTTTCAACTTAATTGAATGTGTGTGTTATGTGTATGTCTTAGTGTGTGCTAGAGATGTCTTTAATTTCCGAATACGGTTAGCAAATTGTGGCTTTGTTCGTAGTTAATATTGTTAAGAGTTGGCATTTTTCTTTTTTATTATTAAAGCTTCCATTATTTTTAGTCTTTTTTTGCAGGTGGATGCAGTTAATATATTTGTGTTTTCTACTAGTATATTTCTAATATATATATATATTGATAATATTAGTGGTCAATATATATATATATATATATATATATATATATATATATATATATATATATATATATATATATAAATTCCCAAGAGGATAGAATCCAGGTAGAACTCAATATGCAGGACAGAGTAAGAATATAATATAAAAGGATCAAACACTAATATTCCATGGTTATAATTTATTACATTGGACCTACAAATACAAGAATTTTGAATTTGTAGGTCTAGTTGAATAGGATCGTGATTACAATTCCAATGTATTAAATTTTAACCATGGAATTTATACATATATATATATATATTTATATATATATATATATATATATATATATATATATGAGCTTTTTATATATATATATATATATATATATATATATATATATATATATATATATATGTATATATATATATATATATATATATATATATATATATATATATATATA